AACGAGAGAAACTCACATAGATACTCATGTAGAATAGTATGGACAATTGCAAAAATGCAATTTTTGGTGTGTATATTTTCGAAAATGCTATTATGGGTTGTCCATTTGTTAAAATACCACTAATGATGGATTTTTAAAACCTAAATCTTAAAATTCTAAGAGAAATTTCAAAAAATGTCACTTTTCAAGTGCCATTTTACAAAAAAGCCACACTTTTGAAATCTTTACAAAAATGTCACTTTTTCAAAATTATTTTTTCTTTATATTATTTATGTTTGGGTTAATTATGTTCTATTAGGTTTTAGTTTTGAGTGTTTAGGGGGTTTTAGGTGTCAAAACATTTTTTAGGGTTTCGAATTTTAAGATATAAGCTTTATAGTTCTATAATTAATGGCATTTTTATAAATGGACACCCCTTAGTGGCATTATTGCAAAAATACACACAAAAATGGCATTTTTGTAATTGTCCCAAATTCTAAACCCTAAAATATGTTTTGGCCCCTAACAAATCATAAACCTTCAAAACTAAACTCTAGTACAACATAGTTAACCCAAAAATAAATGATATAATGAGTAAATAATTTTGAAAAAGAGACATTTTTGTAAAATTTTTGAAATAGTGGTATTTTTGAAAAGTAGCACCTTAAAAGTAGTATTTTTCAAAACTTCTCAAACTATTCAAGATGCTTTTAGAGAAATAGTTATATCTAAAATTATATCATAAATTCTAATCAAATATCCTATTTGGCCATATATACCAATTTTGATTACTTAGTTAATTATTAATTTTTTTGGGTTATTGAGTAAATTGACCGTAGTTTCATAACATCTCTGAACAAATTATTTTCTGAAAAACAATCTGTGAAGTCAGAAAAAAATATAAAAACTAAACCAATACGTGTTTTTTTGTTGTCTTGACCTTATTCACCAATCCAAAATCCTCGTCTAGATATGTGGACTATATTTTCGCACTTACGTACTTATTCATCAAACCTATTGTTAGAATAATTTTTGCTACATAAAATGGGGCCTAAAAGTGAACTTCATTTTTTTTTTTTTTTGTTCAACCGATTTCATTAAAACTTAATGATTGTTCATTACAAACTTTAACCCTTGTTTAGCTAGGCGATCAGTCTTAACATCATCCCCTTTAGGGATATACTTAAACCTAACAGCCTGAAAATTCTTAGAGCAAATCAAAATGTCTGCGACCACTCCATGAATGGCCGAGATTTGTAGATTTTGATTGAGGGCACGAACCAATAACTGTGAATCTGAATTGAAGATGATCTTAGCAAAGTTCAGGCTCGACGCTTGCAGAATTGCACTTCGCATCGCTAAGGCTTCTGCGACCAAGGCAGAAGAGACATAGGAGGAGAAGCTTGAGTGGTCGGAGATGGTCTTCGCCGGAGTAATAAAGCACCATCCAAGGCCCGCCATCTCCGAACTAGCAATCCATGCTGCAACGGAGTAGCAATTAATAAATCCATCCGTATCGGAAGTTGGATTTTTTCTTTGGTTTGATGGGAGACGGACAGTCAGGGATGGCAAATCCGATTGAGCCAACTGCCATTCTCGTTTCTCATTTTTGTTACATCTGCAGCATTTAGCATTTGGCGTGATGTTTCTCACCATCAGTTGATCCCCAACCGGTAGGGCATCTTGTATTGCTTTCCTAGTAAACTCTTTGACCTTTGGTGGAGCTTGTAGTTTCCACACCCATTCATTCCAATTGATCTCCAAATTCGGATGGATTTAAATAAGAAATGTGGATTATTGGACTAAATAAAAAAATCTCAAAATTGTTAGGCTAAATGAGCAACATGATTAAAAATGAAAAACG